AAGCAACAAATATGCAAATGAGTTTGCTCGAAGGTTTTCGATACCCACAATTTCCTTATAATAATGTGTCTCATAGAGTGGAAGGTGGGATAGGAAAACATACACAACACATCTTGTTTAAGGACGGCCCACCCTTTCGCAATTAACCAGCGGAATATAATACTTATGTAGTAGTGATTTTATGAAAATCTAACCATTCCGATAGACTGGGATTTTTCCCCCCTAAAATACCCAAACATTCAGCTTGTCAATTTCAATATTTTGAGTTGTTTTCGTGTGTTGCATTGTTCGGATCATTAACAAATGAAAATAAGCATTGTTAATTAACACTACAAATATTTTATTTGTCACAAAATAAATAAAACACGTGACACAAAGTGTGTTTTATTGAAATTGTATGGTTAAAAGTGATTATCTACAAGCTAGAAGCAAACAGGACACAAAGTTTCATACAAAAATAGTGGAAAATTGAACAAAATATACACAATGGCTTTATAATAAATCTATTTTACATTTTACAATCACTTTGATCATGGTGAGAGTTGTCTTCCTTGAAAACAATCAAAACTTTTTGCAGAGGGATAAAATTTACACAATGACAGTTATCCGTTTCAAAAACATATCAAAACTTATGGAAATGCTTTAAAATTATGATATCAAAAGTGACAATTTCTTGTTCTTTTATGGAACCAAATCACTCTCAATCATGTACACTTTGGACATCATTCCACAGCCCACTATTTCATGATAATTATGTAACTAGAATCTATGCCGTTCTCTCGTCCACCCACACACGCATTTTTATAGGGATCCCAATAATTTTTCCAATAACACTATTTTAACATTTTTCGACAGAGCGTAACTCGTTGGACATCGAAAATCGTAATGAACTCGGGCTTGTGAACTGGTGTAAGCACGTGATATGCACATGTGAGGTTGGTACACAAAACGCATTAGTCCAAATTTCATGTGCTTCATATATTACCTTCTTGAAGTCGTCTGGTCTCATGTCAGTGTCTTTTCGTGAGTCAGTTTATGTCTTTGTATCGGAATCTCTATTTCTGAAGTACGTATGATTACACATTTCCCAGTTAAGTCTCGATATCGTGTGGTAACATATCATCGTCACGCACGTGTACTATTGTTCACCCGGTGTTACTATAATTTACACTACGGTATTGAAATACCCAAAACGCAATACGGAAATGACGACACGAAAATACGCCAAAAACGCATGTGCATTACGAAGGGTGGGAGTCCTAAAACCCGACTATGTCCAAATTTTACCTCATATTTAAATGAGTAATTTGAATAGTTTAATTGGGTTTTTTCGATCTTTTTTCACAATTAGCGTCACTAATTGCAAGTAAACAATTAATAAATTACTGGTTTTATTTACCTTCCCCTCTGATGATTCGAATGTTTTGGCCCCTAGAGTCGCCCAGTTTACTTGGTAAGTCTAGTATCAAGAATATCTCAGTAGACTTTGCACGGCACTGCTAACAACGCGATACCTCTGCAGATTTAAAGTGAAAAGTGTTTTTTTAGCCCTATAGCAGCTCTGTGACATATTTTATGTAACGTAATTTTAAGTTATATTTTACTATATTCTAGGTTATATGCTCTTCATTATTAATATGAAGATACTTTTCTTTGGGGGGCATTTTGTTGGATGTATAATTTTTAATTATGCATTTAATGTTGTAGTTAAAGTATTATGGTAATATACGTCATGGCCTGACGCGCAGTGGATAAGCTCCCTGCTTGTGCGGGTATAGAATCTCCATGACAGAGATGCAAGTTCCTGCGCAAAAGCATGAATTTACGGTGGATTATTTCACATCAACTGGCCCAAAGTTGTATTTTGTGTAATTAATTGCTATTTTATTTGTGCATGGAAGGTGATGCCATCAAATATATTCAAAAAATGAATCTCCTTCCTGTCGAAGATATAACACATTACGCTGCTACTCTGTAACTTTTATGGTTGTTTTAAATATCACGTTCTTTCTTATCAGGTCTCCTTAAGAGTTTTTTTTACTCAACAGGTACTTCTATTTCTATTCTATCACACGTAACCTACAGGACAATATAGAAGGTCGGAGGCCAGATAATTATTTAATGGGAACTGTGTTCACCTGACAGCCCGGGCAGGCCAGGATTAACACAATTGGCTTCGTTTTGAAGACATACCTTTATCCCCAGTCTAGCAGTCATTATAAAGGGCAAGGAAATCTCATCGACACGGTGTTTTATAAATCGTTTATATTCAAAATACACGTATTTGAAAAACCCCATCTAAAGCCTGACTGCGCGCTATAATCAAGATGTGTAGATTTTAAATATTGAAAATATTGAAATCTGTGGTTTTGTCCGTTTAGTTAATTGTACTTGATTTAATGAATACCATTAAGAAGGGGAGATAACAGTAACGTTATGTACAGGGGAGACAACAGTAACGTACAGCTAACGTTCGCAGGTGCGAATATGTTTCATCAAAACTCGATTGATTTAGAACTCTAACGACATTTCAGGATAAGCACTAAAACAGAGCAGTGAAGTTTGTGATTTCTTACACAAAGTATGTGTGCATCCTTTCCCTTTGTTAGTTATACAGAATTTTATTTAATGCAAAGCAACAAATATGCAAATGAGTTTGCTCGAAGGTTTTCGATACCCACAATTTCCTTATAATAATGTGTCTCATAGAGTGGAAGGTGGGATAGGAAAACATACACAACACATCTTGTTTAAGGACGGCCCACCCTTTCGCAATTAACCCGCGGAATATAATACTTATGTAGTAGTGATTTTATGAAAATCTAACCATTCCGATAGACTGGGATTTTTCCCCAAAATACCCAAAAATTCAGCTTGTCAATTTCAATATTTTGAATTGTTTTCGTGTGTTGCATTGTTCGGATCATTAACAAATGAAAATAAGCATTGTTAACTAACACTACTGTTTTCGTGTGTTGCATTGTTCGGATCATTAACAAATGAAAATAAGCATTGTTAACTAACACTACAAATATTTTATTTATCACAAAATAAATAAAACACGTGACACAAAGTGTGTTTTATTGAAATTGTATGGTTAAAAGTTATTATCTACAAGCTAGAAGCAAACAGGACACAAAGTTTCATACAAAAATAGTGGAAAATTGAACAAAATATACACAATGGCTTTATAATAAATCTATTTTACATTTTACAATCACTTTGATCATGGTGAGAGTTGTCTTCCTTGAAAACAATCAGAACTTTTTGAAGAGGGATAAAATTTACACAATGACAGTTATCCGTTTCAAAAAAATATCAAAACTTATGGAAATGCTTTAAAATTATGATATCAAAAGTGACAATTTCTTGTTCTTTTATGGAACCAAATCACTCTCAATCATGTACACTTTGGACATCATTCCACAGCCCACTATTTCATGATAATTATGTAACCAGAATCTATGCCGTTCTCACGTCCACCCACACACGCATTTTTATAGGGATCCCAATATTTTTTCCAATAACACTATTTTAACATTTTTCGGCAGAGCGTAACTCGTTGGACAACGAAAATCGTAATGAACTCGGGCTTGTGAACTGGTGTAAGCACGTGATATGCACATGTGAGGTTGGTACACAAAACGCATTAGTCCACATTTCATGCGCTTCATATATTACCTTCTTGAAGTCGTCTGGTCTCATGTCAGTGTCTTTTCGTGAGTCAGTTTATGTCTTTGTATTGGAATCTTTATTTCTGTAGTACGTATGATTTCACATTTCCCAGTTAAGTCTCGATATCGTGTGGTGACATATCCTCGTCACGCACGTGTACTATTGTTGACCCGGTGTTACTATAATTTACACTACCGTATTGAAATACCTAAAACGCAATACGGAAATGACGACACGAAAATACGCCAAAAACGCATGTGCATTACGAAGGGTGGGAGTCCTTAAACCCGACTGTGTCCAAATTTTACCTCATATTTAAATGAGTAATTCGAATATTATAATTGGGTTTTTTCGATCTTTTTTCGCAATTAGCGTCACTGATTGCAAATAAAAAATTAATAAATTACCGGTTTTATGTACCTTCCCCTCTGATGATTCGAATGTTTTGGCCCCTAGAGTCGCCAAGTTTACTTGGTAAGTCTAGTATCAAGAATATCTCAGTAGACTTTGCACGGCACTGCTAACAACGCGATACCTCTGCAGATTTAAAGTGAAAATGGGGTATATTTTATATAGTAATTTTAAGTGTTTTTTTTACTCTATTCTAGGTTATATACCCCCTCATTATTAATATGAAGATACTATTCTTTTGGGGGCATTTTGTTGCAAGTATAACTTTTAATTATTCATTTAACGTTGTAGTAAAAGTATAACGGTAATATACGTCATGGCCTGACGCGCAGTGGATAAGCTCCTTGCTCGTGCGGGTACAGAATCTCCATGACAGAGATGCTCGTTTCTGCGCAAAAATATGAATGTACGGTGGATTATTTCACATCAACTGGACCAGAGTTGTATTTTGTGTAATTGTCTAGGAAGACCCCACCGGAAAGAGAGAGAGAGAGAGTTGTTAGGAAAGATGGGAAAATTGATACAATGGCGTCTGTTGACCAACTATGGTCCCTTCGATGTCCTCTTAGTAGAAACCCCCCATTCTGCAGAGTGGCACACGCAATGGAGTACGGGAGGTCTATTAGGATTTCTCAAATGTACCTTAAACAGAGATCTATACGTAGAAACCACCCAACATGTAGGGCCCCTAAATTAATCACCTCTCCAAAACACACGGTGGGATATAGCAGGCTTATCATTTTCCCGAACCTGCAAGGATTCCCATTCTTTCCAAAACATATGTAGAAATACAAAAAAAGGGGGAAAATGTCTATAAGCCGTTTAAATTGTACAAACTTAATATTGCCAAAATAATGTAGAATAAATGTAGATAAGACACAAAATGTCACATATTAATATCCAAAACCACTTACCGCAAAACCGCCACAGAAAAGCTGGTGGTCGTTGTAATTTGGTGGTGTGCTGTACCCGTATCTCCACATCGTTGACCGTCCGGGCGGACTGACCAGACGGCCATGACCGGACACTCCGGCCAGGTCGATCACATAAAGAATGGTGAAACATAACATTAGATATTTCAATACGTTTTCAGTCAGCTTTTGTAGACGAAAATGTCCCATTTTGAATTTAGAATCGTTCTAGTTTGAAATTCTCTTTTTAGAAGTTCACAATTTCATTAATATTAGTAAAATACATAATTCATGTTTCGAGCCTACTTAAAAGAAACACTTCGTTGTGAAGCTGGTAAAATTTGAATCCGCTAATATACAATGTGTTTCTTGTAAAGTTTATCCAAGTAAAAAGGTCCAAATGGTTTTATAGGAATTCGAGCATAGAAATTGTTGACGAAAATCCGGTTATCTCCATGAGAACATGAATACGAGGCTAATGTTCAATAATAACGACGCCAGAATGGTCAAGCGGTCAGATTTGCGATGCAGTTAACGTTGCATCATATTAGAATCCCAGTAAAACTTTTCCATTGGCGTTGACCACTAGAACAGCTGTAAGACCCACGATTGATCGTGATTTACCCAAAACTACCCCCTGGACATTTATGTGTGGCGTTAGACTAGGGTCCATAACTATGTTACTCATATCTGGGGCTCTCGATGGGTAATCCGAATGGGTTTTTGTTTTGTTTATCACAAATGTAGGCCAAATATAAGCAATTACAAAAAACATAACACAAACATACCTCAGGTTAGATGTGGATATATTAGAGCTCGTGATTTAAATTGATTAATGCCCAAGTCAGTAAGTATTGGATAGTCGAAAACATTACATTATAAAATCACAAGAACTAATAAGATTTACTGCCGTCTAATCTATTTCTCTAGCTTTCTTATTATTAGTACTCTTGAGTCATTTGAGAAAATAATCTATATTAATAATAAATATCAAATACTTTATAAAATATCATATATACAATTTATTTGAAAGATATTATATATTTTATTAGCTATATAATTTTATATATTTTATAAGACATCATATATTTTGCAATCAATTCGTTTGCTTTGGATGTTTATCTTTTGCATAACCTTCCAGTTTTACTTTCATATATTCTTTTAACGAGCGTCTATTAAAAAGTGCTGATTTGCCATAAATGACACAAATTGTCGATAAGCTGTATAACAATAAAAAATAATACAAACCAGGTATAAATCTGTTGTTTTCTGGGTCACATACTTAAACGTCGAACATATATTTTCTATTCGAAGATAAATATATTTTTCACATATTTTATTTACGTTCCTGAGACGATTCTGTGAGAGTAAGTAAGTAGTACTTGATTTGGGGAAATTCTATTTAATTTTCACCGAGTAATCCCCGAAAGTCGAGTCTGAAAATAGACGTTAAGTGTGCAAGGAACGAGAAAATCAAGATAAGTGCTCAATACGAAAGACTGCAAGTATATCTCTAATAGTTACCAATTATTTAAGTTTTTCTTGTGTGACACTGAAAAAGTAGATACAAAGATGCATAGATTTTTAGCATTTATTTGTTTCACATTTGCACTGAAATTATGTACACCACAAAGACATTTTCAATATCATTTAGAAATGGTTAAAACACTCAAAACAAATTACGTTCATGAAGTGTTTGCTCAAGAATTTTTATTTTATGCAGACACACAAACTGTGTTTTGATGATATAGTTAAATATGAAAAACGTTCCTTGATACACACCAAGAATGTTTCGTATTCCAAGTGTCCAGTAATATTCTGTTTCTTTTTCTTTTAAAAAGAAGTGTTATTTATTAGTTTTCTTTACTCATTCTCTGCAATTATATACACAATTATTTTGAATAACTGGATTGCCCACTAAAAGTTTGTCATTAAATAAATGAAAATTAAGAGAATTTTTATATCTTGGATTTAAGCTGACAATACATGCGTGATCAAGTATTGTACATTTCCGTGTGCCGTAGGTTCTTGTAGATAATACTCACCGGACCGGCTATATCTGGCCCCCGAGGGGAATTCGGCCATGTGTGGCCTACTTATGCACTAGTTTAGTTCAGGACGAATATTTTACTATCTTTGGTCAATATCTGTAGTTGTTGAACCGCACATAATATCAATATCAACCGTCTCAGATCAGATCCCTTGCAGGGAACCTCGGCTGTTTCGGGTAAAAGACTAGGTACAAGATGACAAATGTGGGGCCCATGCAGAATCTGGGGCATTCTTGTGTGTTTTCTTCTTAGGAAACATTGAAGCAACAAAAATGGGTCTGCTGCCCCTGTTGCGACATTTGGGATCTTTGTGTTTTCTCTTTACTTCCTTACATTCTTTTGTTCCCTATTGCTTTGCTTTTCCACACTTTCTTATGATTTCAGTGTTTAACAGTCGCCCAGGTGAGGACGGCAACAGATTCTGTCCCAGACCGGGGCATACCAATACCGGGGCATACCAAAGTATTTACAAATGGTAGTTGTGTTTACCTGCTGGACGTTCAGCATTCAGGGTAATTACAACAACTGGTTCACCCGTTGTCAGTATAATGAGACCGGGCGGAATACGGTGCAGGGTGCTTTCGGCATAGTATTTCAGAGAAGTAGCACTCTAAAGTCGGCATCAGATCCGGGCTATTGCAAAAAATCAATCACACCGACATACTATCCATCTATCTATTCTGCAACACCCTCTTTCGAGTATTATGTGCAGCAAACCCTACCGCCAACACAAATACACACAAGTCTACCTGTCTAACCAACGTTTTGTTCAGGGATTTTGTTCAGGCGGAGCCATGTAACAGATGATTTTAATCAGATTGTGTTTATGTTATGAATAAATATCTAAAACTATTAACTTAATTCGCTAGTATCTTTGTCTAAGTTTGAACACAGATGAACTTAGTTTAATATGTCAATGGGCATGTATCGGAGAGAGTTTACTTTGAGTTTCTATAATTATACAGTGGTTTATGCGAAAGGAAGGGATAAGTGACTGGGTAGTTTGATTTTGTCATGAGGCCCTCCAAGGGTTAACTGTTGTGATAGCCACGGCGTATTCTGTCTCTGTCGGTACTCGCGATCGGGGTCAAATGAGGTACGTGCGCTTTTAGATTTACATAATTTATAATATTACCGGGTTCCGTAAAATGGTATGATTTAATTATATTGATGAATTAAACGATTTTTTGTTTGATTTTACAAACAAGATTTAAATTTGTACTATTATGAATACCCGGCTTCCTCTGGCGCGACGACGCAATATATAAAAAAAATCTCTCGTCGTCAGAAAGCTACATTATCGCAGGTAGATTAAAAAAGTCAAAATGGCGGGCCAGGATGAATAACTGAGGAAGGAGAACCTACTTCTAGTAAAAAGGATCGCGTAACATTTTTTTTTAAATCGTAATTTTTTAACAGTTCATGTTTTCATGTTGTTGACTTAGAATGTATGATCATGTAACAACCTTTTCTCTATAAAGAATTAATTTTCGACTTCAGATAGAATCGGAATACGTATTGAAAACGGGAAGAAACATTTGTTTACGTTGTAAAAATGACGCGTGCTGCCGATAACTACGGCTTCTGTTTCGGACAAAAATGAAATGATTAAAGAAAAGTTGGCTCAACATAAAAAAGTGTCCATTGACAAGAATGCTTTAATCTATGAAAAGTATTGAAAACGAATAATAATCAAGTATCTCAACACGTCCCATATCTGACACATATTGTGCATGTACACGTAGTGGTTTTGCCATACAGTTTAGTGTGTGTGGTGGCTAATATGACTTACTTAAGGATGTACACCTCTGAGAAGTCAAAAAAAATTCCTGTATTAAACTTTTTTTCTTATGTAGATTTTTGGAAAAAGGAGTTAATGGCATAGTAGAAAATACAAAAAAAAAACAAACATATGTCCGTGTGCTCGTTTTTGTGCTATGATCGGTTAAAGATACCAATTTACCACAACATGTGATTTTAGGTGATTTTCGGGGTTTTGACCATTTGCAGAACAAATTCATACAATTTCTTCCAAGTGTGTTATCAGATATGTATAAATGTTTGTAGAATTGTTGAAAATATTATTTTCTTTTAAATCATGGAAGTAAAATTTCTTAATCTTATTGTTTTAACTCAAAAAGCCGATTTTCGTTACCCCTACCCCCTATTTTTTAATGATAAAATACTCATTTTTTACCTTTTTTTTAAAGTTTAAACGCTTGATATAAAAAGTTCTGGTGTTTAACTTTTTTTTAATAACTAATGAATTAAATGAAAACGTGTTTCTCTTTCTAAAACATCTACAAAAATGGGGGGTCAGTGTGCTTCTTTTTTTATCATTTGTGTTATTTTTACTTTTTTCGGGGTCAAAAATCAAAAGTGCTTCAGTCACACTAAAAACGTAAAAAAATTATCAACAATGTATGATTTTCCAGTTTGTTGCATATTATTTTGAACATATTGAACATCATAAAGTTGTACAGCAAAAATGAACCTGCTACAATTAATAATGACGACACAATGACAATTTAAGTGATCAATCTAGTGCCAAAAAGGTGAAATTTTGGCCTTTTTTGAAGCACAAGAAATACACATTAATACACATTTTCAAAATGGCCGCCGAATTGGTAATTTTTTTAAATTCATGTAAAAAAAGTTCTACAAACAACAGGCATCTAGTTTGTTGACATATTTTTCAGAATCGTGTTTGCTAATAAACTTGATCATAAGTTGTTAAATATTATAAAAACCCATTACACCAGATCAAAACGAGACTTGAACGTGATTGAAACCTCAGAAGAGTACATCCTTAAGTGTTAGCGTATGGAGACAATGAAAGTGGGAAAGAGAGTATACATAAATGTATATGCATGGTATAGAAAAAAAAATTGGCCAAAGATATTGAGTTGTACAATGTTATAAAAAAAATCACAAACGTTTCTCTTTTTTATACGCGTGTAGGTTTTTCATTGCATATATGCACTTTATGAAAACATTTGAAAAGGGATATTCGTCTCGTGAATATTCCTTTTTACAGAAAGGTTTGTCCAATGGTTGAAGAAAGGTGTTTAGCCCCGTACAGACGTCACATTCCGGTACTAAATTCAATATATATTTATACATATATATACTTTATGTTTATGCCTATTATCATCGTTGACATTTAATTGTAAATATATGACGGGAGAAGGCTGTGATAAATTGTAAAAACGTGTGCCCCATCCCTTGTTCAATTTAATTGGCAACACATATGTTTAAGCTAAATAAATTTAAATTCTAAATGTTGTCAAGTGTGCAATTAACTTCTGATGATGAATAACTACTGTTCAATAAGTTTTAATACGGACTTAGAAATCATATTACTGGTTTCATAGTGCGGTAAGAAGTTGCAGTTGCCTGACGCCCCTCTCTGGGGGCCCCTTTGGAAACCGTTTATTACTGCCTAGTCAGGTGACGTTATCGGCGCTATTTTTAGCAGGGCTTTCCCGAATAATTCAAGTGGTCAAACTGGACATTTGGAACGGACTATGAATATGGGGATAGCGAGGCAACATAAGTG